CCCCCCGGTACCTGTCACAGGGGTCCGACAGGTCCCCGAACTCGTGGACGTGGAGCCCGTGGGGGCCCGGGGGGAGCCCCGACACGGCCCCGTCCACGAGGCAGCGCCCAGGGGAGACCTGCAGGAATCGAACCAGCCCCCGGACCCCCCCGGGACCCCCCAGGGCCGCCACGGCTGCACCCCCGGGGGGCGCTGGGGAGGGGCAGGTCAGGGCAGGGAGCCCCAAAAACACCCCAGGGACCCCAGGACAGCCCCCAGGGCCTCCCACAAGGACCCCAAAACCACCCCCAACACCCCCCCCCAACACCCCAAAACCTCCCACAAGGACCCCAAAACCACCCCCACACCCCCCCAGGACCCCAAAACCTCCTCCAAAACTCCCCCTGTGACCCCTCTAAACCCCCCTATGACCCCCCAGACCCCTCTGTGACCCCCCTGAACCCCCCTATGACCCCCCAAACTGCTCAGTGACCCATCCCAAACCCCCCCTGTGACCCCTCCAGGACCCCCCCTCACCATCAGGGGAGCCCCCCATGCCCTTGAGCACGGCCCTGCGCCCCCAAACTCCCCTGTGACCCCCCCTCACCGTCAGGGGAGCCCCCCATGCCCTTGAGCACAGCCCTGCACCCCGAGTTCTCCAGCAGCTCCTGCACCCGCTCGGCCCCCAGGGAGGTCTCCACCAGCACGGTCTGGGCCTGGGGGAGCAGCTCCAGCAGCTTCACCCCTGGGGGAGCACAAAAAGGGGTGTTGGGGGGTCCCCAAAACCCCGGAGGGGGTCCCCAAACCCTGGAGGGGGTCCCCAAACCCTGGGAGAGCAGCTCCAGTGGATTCACCCCTGGGGGGGCACAAGGGGGGTCAGGGGGTCCTCAAACCCGAGGGGGTCTCTAATCCCTGGGGGGTGTCCCCAGATCCAGGGGGGGATCCCCAATTCCTGGGGGGCCCCTAAATTCCTGGGGGGGTCTCACCTGAGGTCCCCTCCAGCGCTGCCCTCACGGCGTCGGCGCAGCCCCGGCAGCTCATCTGCACTGCAAACTCCAGCTGGGGGGGGGGAAAAGGGGGGTCAGCACCCAAAAACGGGGGTCAGCACCCAAAAAATGGGGGTCAGCACCCGAAAAGGGGGGGAAAGGGGGGCTCAGCACCCCGGAAACGGGAGGAGGGGGGTGTGAACCCCCCAAACTTCCCTGTAAGGGGTCTCACACCCCCCCAGAACTCCCACGTAAAGGCCTCTGCCCTCCCCAAATCCTGGTTCCCCGAAGCCCTGCACCCCCAGAACTGCCCCGCAAGGGTCTCTGTGCCCCCCAGATCTCCCACATCATGGACTCAGAACCCCAAATCCCGGTTCCTCAGGGCCCTGCACCCCCAGAACTGCCCCTCAAGGGTCTCTGCGCCCCCAAATCTCCCACGTCGCGGACCCGGAACCCCAATTCCCGGTTCCCCGGGAAGCGCCGCACCCCCGAACGCGCCGCTCCCGGCTCCCCGCACCCCCGGCCCCTCTCCCCGCACCCCCGGCCCCGCCGTGCCCCCCTCCCCGAGCCCCCCGTGCCCCCCCCGGGGGTCCCGACCCTGCAGCTGCTCCCGGGCCCCTCCGGCTCCGCCATGGCCGCGGACTCTGCCCCCGGAACCTCCCGCGGGCGCCGCCGGGGGGGGTCGGACCGTTATCGCGGCCGCACCGGCGGGGGGGGAAGGATTTGCCTGGAGCGCCACTTCCGGCGTCCTGTCGCCATGGCAACGGCGCGGGGCCTAAAGAGGCCCGAGAGGTTTTGGGGACCCCGGGGAGGTTTCGGGGAGCCCGAGGGGAGCTTGGGGGGCCCGGGAGGAGGAGCTGAGAGGCTCAGGGGAGTTTGGGAGGCCCGGGGAGGATTGCGGGGCCCGGGTGGGTTGGGGGGCGCAAGGAAGAGGTTTGGGGGGACTCGGGGGAGGTTTGGGGGGGTCCGAAGGGGTTTGTGGGAGCTGAGGGGGCAAAGGGGGACTCCCGTGGGGTGCGGTGGAGTTTTGGGGGTCCCCAGGGGTGTTTGGGGGCCCCGGGGGGCACACTGGGTTTCCCCACGGGGGTGTGGGGAGGGCTGCAGGTGTCAGGGGGTTCATCCCGCCCACAGGGACCCCCAAATCCCCCCGGTGAGGGGGTTGGGGGCCTCCACCGCCAGCACAGGAACCCCAAAATGACTGACAGCCCCCTCCGGAGCCCCCCCTCAACAAAACCCAAAGGGACCCCAAAACCCCCCAGAATCACTGCCCCGGGACCCCCAAAACGCCCCAAGGCAATAAATGGTTGAAAAAACCACTTTATTCACCCAAAAACGAGCACAGACACATTGGGGAAGGGGGGCAGGGGAAGGGGCAGCACCAAAATCGGGACCATGGGGGGGGACACAGCAGGGACCCCCCCCCCAGGAGGCTCAGGACCCCTCCCAATAAAGGTCAAGACCCCCCCCAAAAGGCTTAGAGACCCCCAGATTGGGGATAAGACCCCCTAATTTGGGATTAGAGCCCCTCAGATTGGGAATCAGACCCCACCCCCCAAAGGGACTCTCAGAGCTCCCCCAAAACCAGGGCTCAGGAGCCCCCCAAAGGGCTCAGAACCCCCCCAGACTCTCAGTTCCCCCCCAAACCAGGGCTCAGGACCCTCAGAGCCCCCCAAATCAGCCCCCCCCCGGGCCCCCCTCAGCCCATTCCCTCCCGGACCCTCTGCACCAGCCGGGCCCTCACGGCCCGACCCTCGCGGGCCCCCGGGCCGGGGGGGGGGGGGGGTGGGGGGGGGGGTCCGGGGGCCCCCGGGGGGGGGGCGGGGGGAGCCCCTCGGGGGGCTCGAGGGGGAGGCGGCGGCGCAGGGCGATGTTGTGCAGGATGCAGCAGGCCAGGAAGATCTGGCACACCTTGGGGGGGCTGTACTGCAGCCCCCCGCCCGCCAGGCAGCGGAAGCGGCGCCGCAGCAGCGCCAGGGTGCGGCGCAGGGGGCCGAGGGTCCGGGCGTGCAGCGCGTTGTAGCGCAGCTCGGCCGCCCCCCGCGCGCCCTGGATCGGCGTCAGCAGCCACGGCTTCAGGGGGTAGCTGCCGTCACCTGGGGGGGGGGCACGGCGGGGTCAGGGGACCCCCGGAGCAACGGGGGCACCCCCAGGCCCACGCAGGGTCACCCTGAGACCCCCCCAGACCACCAGGTTAACCCTGAGACACCCAGCTTACCCCTGAGACCCCCCAGGTTAACCCTGAGACCCCCAAGGCCACCCCC